GGTTTATTATAAACACATGTAATTGTTGTGTAATAACAGGCAGTAATGTTTATTATAAACACATGTAATTGTTGTGTATTAACAGGCAGTAATGTTTTCATACAAACACATGTAATTGTTCTGTATTAACGGTTTGTGATGTTAAATATAAATAAAGGTTATTGTTGTATATTATGGACAGCTACTGACGTGATAATGAACAGCTACTGACGTAATAATGAACAGCTACTGACATGTTAATGAACAGCAGCTAACGTGATAATGGACAGTTACTGACATTATAATGGACAGCTACTGACTTGATTATGGACATCTACTGATATTATAATAAACATCTACTGACATGTAAATAGACAGCTAATGGTGTGATAATGGAAAGCTACTAACGTGTTAATGAACAGCTACTGACGTGATAATAGACAGCGACTGACAAAATAATGGACAGCTACTGAAGTGATAATGGACAGCTACTGACGTGTTGTTGGAAAGCTACTGACATGATAATAGATAGCTACTGATGTGTGTTAATATACAGCTACTTACATGATAATGGATAGCTACTGACGAGATAATTGACAGCTACTGACATGATAATGGATAGCTACTGACGAGATAATTGACAGCTAATGACATGTTAATGGACAGCTACTGAAATGTTAATGGACAGCGACTGACGTGTTAATAGACAGCTACTGATGTGATAATGGACAGCTGCTGACGCGTTGTTGGACAGTTAATGACGTGATAATTGGCAACTACGGACATGATAATGGATAGCTACTGATATGTTAATTAACAGTAACTGACGTGATAAAGGACAGTAACTGACGTGTTAATGGACAGCTACTGATGTGAAAATGGACAGCTACTGGACGTGTTAATGGACACTTAATGACGTGTTAATGGACAGCTACTGGCGTGTTAATGGACAGCTACTGATGTGAAAATGGACAGCTACTGGCAAAATAATGGACAGCTACTGACGTGTTAATGGACAGCTACTGACGCGTTGTTGGACAGCTACTGACATGATAATGAATAGCAACTGTCGAGACAATTGACAGCTACTGACATGTTAATGGACAGCCACTGACGTTTTAATTGACTGCGACTGACGTTATAATGACAGCTACTGACGCGTTGTTGGACAGCTAATGACGGGATAATTGACAGCTACAGACGTGATAATGGACAGCTACTGACGCGTTAATGGACAGCTAATGACATGATAATGGACAGCTACTGACATAATAATGGACAGTTACTGACGTGCTAATGGACAACAACTGACGTGTTAATGGACAGCTACTGATGTGATAATGGACAGCTCCTGACCTAATAATGGACCGTTACTGACGTGATAATTTGCAGCAACTGACGTTATAATAGACAGCTAATGACGTGATGATGGGCAGCTACTGGTGTGATTATGGACAGCTCCTGACATGTTAATGGACAACTACTGACATTATAATGAACAGCTACTGACTTGATAATGGAAAGCTACTGAAGTGTTAATGGACATCTACTGACGTGTTAATGGACAGCTACTGACATCATAATGGACAGCTACAGACGTTATAATGGACAGCTACTGACGCGTTAATGGACAGCTAATGACATGATAATGGACAGCTACTGACATAATAATGGACAGTTACTGACGTGCTAATGGAGGGTTACTGATGTAATTATGAACAGCTACTGACGTGATAATGGACAACTACTGGTATGATTATGGACAGCTACAGACGTTATAATGGACAGCTACTGACGCGTTGTTGGACAGCTAATGACATTATAATGGACAGCTACTGAAATAATAATGGACAGTTACTGACGTGCTAATGGAGGGTTACTGATGTAATTATGAACAGCTACTGACGTGAAAATGGACAGCTACTGGTGTGATTATGGACAGATACTGACATGTTAATGGATAGCGATTGACGGGTTAATGGATAGCAACAGACGTGATAATGGACAGATACTGACATGATAATGGATAGTTACTGACGTCATAATTAGCAGAGCCTGACGTGATAATGATCAGCTAATGACATGATAATGAACATGACGTGTTAATCTACAGCTACTGAAGCGTTAATGGACAGCTACTGACGACGTGATAAAGTTCAGATACTGACGTGTTCATCGACACCTACTGACATGATAATAGGCAGACACTAACATGATAATGGACAGTTACTGACATGATAATGGTCAGCTACTGACTTGATAATTGATAACGACTGACAAAATAACGGGCAGATACTGAAATGATAATGGACAGCTACAGTCGTGATAATGGACATCTACTGACGTGATAATAGACAGCGACTGACATGATAATGGGCAGCTATTGACGTGACAATGGAAGCTAGTGACATGATATGAACTGCTACTGACGTGATATGAACAACTACTGACGTGATAATGGGCAGCTACTGACGTGATAATGAACAACTACTGATGTAATTATGAACAACTACTGACGTGATAATGGACAGCTACTGGTGTGATTATGGACAGATACTGACATGTTAATGGATAGCGATTGACGGGTTAATGGATAGCTACAGATGTGATAATGGACAGATACTGACATGATAATGGATAGTTACTGACGTCATAATTAGCAGAGCCTGACGTGATAATGATCAGCTAATGACGTGATAATGAACAGCTACTGACGTGTTAATCTACAGCTACTGAAGCGTTAATGGACAGCTACTGATGACGTGATAAAGTTCAGATACTGACGTGTTCATCGACACCTACTGACATGATAATAGGCAGGCACTGACATGATAATGGACAATTACTGACATGATAATGGTCAGCTACTGACTTGATAATTGATAACGACTGACAAAAAAACGGGCAGATACTGACATGATATTGGATAGCTATTGAGGTGATAATAGACAGCTTCTGACGAGATATTGGACAAATACTGAAATGATAATGGACAGCTACAGTCGTGATAATGGACATCTACTGACGTGATAATAGACAGCGACTGACATGATAATGGGCAGCTATTGACGTGACAATGGAAGCTAGTGACATGATATGAACTGCTACTGACGTGATATGAACAACTCCTGACGTGATAATGGGCAGCTACTGACGTGATAATATACAGCGACTGATATGATAATGGGTAGTTATTGACGTGATAATGGACAGCTAGTGACATGATATGAAAAGCTAGGGACATGATAATGAGCAGGTATTGATTGACTTGATAATGGACAGCTAATGACATGATAAGAACAGCTACTGACGTGATAATTGACAGCTATTGACGTGATAGTGGACAGCTAGTGACATGATATGTACAGCCACTGAAGTGATATTGGGCAGCTACTGACGTGATAATGAACAGCTACTGATGTGATAATGGGCAGCTATTGACGTAATAATGGGCAGCTAGTGACATGATATGAACAGCTACTGATGTGATAATGGACAGCTACTGATGCGATAATGGACGGTGAAAACTGAAAGTTATATAAATATTCTCTAGTAGGGGAAATAATGTATACTTTCACACTAGCGTATAGATAGGCCCTTTTTAAACATGGACCGACAAATAGTTACAACCCAGGCTTACCGCTATCATTTTGGGTTACTTTGAGTCGATTGTGCAATATGCTTTAATACAAGTTTGACTGAGTAGTATAAATAACATGTTGTTTCGACTTATATTCTACACATACATGCATATACAAATGTATAGACACATATTTATATTATTTATTACAAGTAATACAACACGAATAGCTAGTTGAATTCCACCTACCCGTAGCTGTCTGGGGACAATGTTCGGCGCACTTTGTGTCGTTGACAATGATAATCAACGTTACTTGGCTTGCTGTTTCTCTGTCCAGACTGTTACTCACGAACACAGATCCATTGGTTGGATGAATGCTAAACATATGCTAAAAGTAAAATAATACAAAATAAAGTAAAATAAAGTAAAATAAAGTGTACTAGGTAAACTAAAGTTGTAACTAATAACGTTATAGAAGACAAATCATCATCATCATCATCATCATCATCACGAGTTTATGGTTTTCATTTTTGTTTTACCTTTGCTTCACTGTAAATATTTTGTATAATTTGTAGTATTAGCTTACCTCAACTAGACTGATTTTGACACTGTTTCCTGCACCATCTGTCGCTGAATGAGTTTGGATGTCGTACTCAAGTTCATTGTCATTATCGGCATCAGAAGCAGTACAGTTTTTAACGATATATCCAATGGCGATATCTTCTTTCTCGCTCGCTATGTAACTAGACTGGCCGAACTCAGGACTTTCGTCGTTGATATCAGTAATTCTAATAGCTAGAGTCACTGTCACTGTTCTTGGCGGAGTACCAATATCAGCGGCAATTATAGTCAGGTTATACTGGTCCTGACTTTCTCTGTCGAATTTAGCATTCAGATCAACTGTGATGGTGCCATTTTGTCCGTTTATTCGAAACAAATCGGATCCTCCTTTTTCAATATAGTACCGGACTTCATTGTTTGGGCTGGTTGCATCCCCATCACTTGCTGACACAGTGTCCACGGATTTTCCTTCAAAATGAAATACATTTTCATTAGTCTCAGGTATACTGAATATACACAAACACTTTTAAACAATAACAAATACTGACACTTGGGTTTAATGTCCAATACTTAAACCTATAGTGGATAACGAAAGGACGGACATGCACGTTTACATAATACATATTAAGCAATTTATATAATAACAATATCAAGAAAGAATACACGGTCTCCATGTTAATGTTACCTTTTTGATAACAATTCTCCACATTCCATTAATTTACCACAAGCTCATTATATCAAACATTGAATATTAGTTTGTATTGATACATCCGCATATAAGTCAATACGAAAGTTAATTTCGTACCTGGTGTTGAGTTTTCAGATATATTGGCGTTGTAGCTATCCTGATGAAATTTTGGTGTGTTATCGTTTATATCCTTTGAAATATAAAAACAGTTGTAAACGACTTGTAACATTTAAACAAATGATTTGGTTATTGCTCTTTCCTTCAACATGTGTCAGTGAAATAGTTTAGAAAGAAATCATCAAATTGAAATGAAATATATAATAATAAATATTGAATGTTAATTGCTTGCAATAGCAACGAAAAATAACAATAATCTCGCAAACATTTCAGTTTGAAAAGAAAACAATCTTCATTTCACCTTCACAATATCTCTCACTGATATTATACGGGGAAGCACACTCACATGCACGTTGATCGTTACAGTAGTGTTTGATTCAAGAGATGTGTTTCCATTGTCGTATGCTATAACGATCAGCTGTATCTGTCCGTTCTGTGACAAGTAGAGGCGTTCGTAGTCCAGAGGCTGTGTGGCGATGATTTCACCTGTGGTGCTGTTAATAGTGAAGTTGTTGTTCAGGTTATCGGGACATTTAAGTCTGTACATCACCTCACTGTTTGGTGTGTTACTCTCGTCTATGTCGGTTGCCTGTAGTTGATATCAATTCAAGGAATTAGAAGAAAATGGAAACGATAAATAGGAGTTATTTTTAATCAGTTTTTTGAAATGCAAAATATCATGAAGACTTGAAATAAGCGATGGAACAGCCCTGGGTTTGATACATGTACCATGTTTCCTTCCAAGATAAGCATATTTATAAATCAAATTGCTTTCGCGTCATTATTGTTTTTTTTATAATCTGAACTATACCTTTTTACACTTCACAGGATAAAGAAGGGACCTTTATTCGAACGATTAACATGTAATTCCTACCGTTACTAGTATATCTGGATTGAACTGTGTCGTATTCTCAGTAATTGACATCTCCACTGTTTTATAAAGGAACCTGGGTGGGTTATCGTTAATATCGGAGAGAATGACTGTCAGAGAGGCCACTGCCCTCCTGTTTCCCCGGTCAGTGGCTACCACCGTCAAATAGTATGTGTCACGTGTTTCTCGGTCAAGGTCACCAGGACTTCCCACAGTGTAAACAGTGCCATTGTGTGGATCAATGCCAAATCTATAAATAATCATACGTTGTTTTACACGTTAAATATTAACACGATAGCATATCTTCTGTATATATGACAAGTAAGTATAAGCCATTAAATAATTCAATATCGTAGTTTTTAAAACCCATTTAGATTTCAAATCTAGCATTACCGATGAGTCCTAGAGGACGAAACAGTGGTATGATGCAGTAAAACTCAGTGTTCGGTATACTGTATCACAAAATATCACGGTGAAGTCACATGTGTGTGCCCAACGTGCTTCACCGTATGCATTGGCAGTTGATTATTTGATTTAAGCATTGAGAGCGGTTCTAATATTGTCATCTGTGTATAAAAAGTATGAATTTCTTAACATTGCAAGAATCTGCGTTGACAAACTCATATTATTCTGTCAACATATTTATAATAGTGCATTCAAAATTTAACGCATACTTGAATTTAACAGATGATCGCTCTGGTTAATCAGTAAGTTGATAAACTGCTTATACTAATGACACTACATTGACGACAAAGCCAGATTCGGGGGCGTAGTTTATTTTCATTTCTTCCGATAAGTATGAACGATAAAAGATTGACCCATGGGGTTCGATCATCTCGTATGAAAAGTCGCAAAAGAGTGAATTGACTTGAAAACGAGCTTACTGGGAAGAGCCTTTCAGTGTATAAGTCAATTTGCCGTATTCTTCTAGATCGAGATCTTCTGCCTGTTAAAAACCAAGCTCAAAAGATTAAAGTCGAAAAGTGCAATGAAATACAACCTAAATACTACCTTTATTTCATTTAAGCGATCAGCAGTAGAGTGAAGCCTTATATGGCTTTTACAAATTATTTTTTAACAATCCAAGTAAAAAAATAACAACAACTGCAAGCGCTGATTCATTCTTATAACTAAAGTGATTAATATATATCAAAATATCTCTCTACATAAAAGAAAATACAATTGTGTGATACATTAAATTTAAACGTGATCTAATAATTAAAGTAATAGGCTATTCAATGTATAACTCATAACTTTCCTAACTTTATATTGTTTCTACCATAGTGCACTGTATTCTATAATCCCGTACTTTACCCTGTTTATATCATAGTTTAATCAATAAATCTGAACTTAAAACTGTTCATACCAGAGAAAATGTATATCTCCGATAACTTAACACTGTTTATATCATAGTTTAATGTACATATCCTATAACTTAACACTGTTTATATCAGAGAAAATGTATTTCCCCTTTAACGTTACATTGTTTATATCGTAGTTTTATGTATATCTCTTATACCTTTACATTGTTTATATCATAGTAAATGTATTTCCCCTATAACTTTACACTGTTTATATCGAAGTTTAATGTATATCTCCTATAACTTTACACTGTTTATATCATAGTAAATGTATATCTCCTATAACTTTACACTGTTTATATCATAGTTTAATCAATAAATCTGAACTTAAAACTGTTCATACCAGAGAAATTGTATATCTCTGATAACTTAACACTGTTTATATCATAGTTTAATGTATTTATCCTATAACTTAACACTGTTTATATCAGAGAAATTGTATATCTCCTATACCTTCACATTGTTTATATCGTAGTTTAATGTATATCTCCTATAACTTTACACTGTTTATATCGTAGTTTTATGTATATCTTCTATACCTTTACACTGTTTATATCATAGTAAATGTATATCCCCAATAACTTTACACTGTTTATATCATGGTAAATGTATTTCCCCTTTACCTTTACACTGTTTATATCGTAGTTTAATGTATATCCCCAATAACTTTACATTGTTTATATCATAGTAAATGTATATCTCCTATAACTTTAAATTGTTTATATCGTAGTTTAATGTATTTCTCCAATAACTTTCCATTGTTTATATTATAGAAAATGTATATATCCTATAACTTTACACTGTTTATATCATAGTTTAATGTATATCTCCTATAACTGTACACTGTTTATATCATAGTAAATGTATATCTTCTATAACTTGACACTGTTTATATCATAGTAAATGTATATCTCCTATAACTTTACACTGTTTATATCATAGTAAATGTATATCTTCTATAACTTTACACTGTTTATATCATAGTAAATGTATATCTCCTATAACTGTACACTGTTTATATCATAGTAAATGTATATCCCCAATAACTTTACATTGTTTATATCATAATAAATGTATATCTTCTATAACTTTACACTGTTTATATCATAGTAAATGTATATCTCCTATAACTGTACACTGTTTATATCATAGTAAATGTATATCCCCAATAACTTTACATTGTTTATATCATAATAAATGTATATCT